ATGCCCATTTTATGGATGAAGCCCAGCTTAACCTCTGCTTAAGAGTTGTCTAAAGCTGGTGGAAGAATAAGGATTCAAATCCAGGTCTGACTTGGACTCTAGAGGTCACACTCTTAACCATAAGCCACAGCCTGGTTCCTATGCAGAGATAAAAGTAGGCCTGTGGGCACACAGAGGAAGGTGTGTGGGGCTTGGTAGAGGGAAGAGAAATTGAGGAAGACTTCCTGGAGGAGGAGACTATTCATTGAGCTAGGCCTTAAAGTTTAGGGAAATCACTGTAGAAACTGAGATTCCCCTTACTGGAGAATGTGGATCAATTGCAAAGTATGTTTGAATACATGAGAAGGATCTGGAATCCTGATTCTGCTCCCTGTTGGCTGTGTGACCTAGAATTAGGTGCTTAACTTCTCTGAGTTTCAATTTCTGTATGTGTAAAATTGGATGTGGTAGGCAGTGCTGACACATCTCGAACGTTATGTATCACTTTCTACAACTGGTGTATTAAGAGCTCATCACTAAGGACAGCAACATTGACAAGAGTAACCATTCAGATGGAACACTGACTCTGAACTCAGTCCTTGAGCCCTGGCCTCAGGGGCACTCAGCAAGCTCACATGGCAACCTCCTTGAAGTTGGGAGAGCACCCCTACTTCTGTCCCCAGGAGAGAGTAGTGAGACTCGCATTATCTGTCTTCCAATTTTCAATTCCTCCCTTGGCCACTCCAGTTTTAACTGTTTTGTGCCCTTGAGTGAATGAGGGACCAAAGAAGATGAATCAATTTTTTGGCCCCTGCATTAGCAAGTCCTTCATGAGGTAACCCTTTTCTCCTTTGGGGTTATGGGGGTCATTGGCACCAATGGTCTTGGCCTCAGCCCAAACTGATGCCAGCTTGCAGGCATTCTCTGCAAATTCAAGAGCCACGTAAATTCAGATACAATTTTTGATGAACTCCATGCTGTCTGAAATCTTGCTACTCACTCTTAAAAACCAAGGAACCAAATGGAACAAGAAAACATAGGATCTTTGCCACCCAAGCTTCCTGCCCAAACTCACCCTACACTGATAAAGAGCCAAATAAATGTGGGTTGCAAGGGCGTCTTCCATGGCTTGTTTTGGCATTCTGCTCATCAGGGGGTGGGTGTGAGGGCCAGCTGAGACAGGGTGTGTGGCTGTCTGGTTCGGTGCCAGAGGATAGTGAGGTGAAGACTGGAGCTCACCATCCTTTCGTTTTGCAGCAACACTGGCAGAAAAACAGCTGTAATTTACCAGGCAACCGTTTTATCCATTTCACAGAGTTGCCTTGGCTACAGCGTAGTGCAGTAATCATATTAAAACACTGTTTTCCTTTCTGCTTTCTTGGAGCTTAGAAGAATCAGAGGTGAGGGGGGTGTCTGCCTCCTGAGCACTCGGCACCCCGGGTCACCCTGACACTCCACACACGTGGTCCTGGGACCTGAATATGGGAAGCCCCTTGTCCTACACTGATAGCTACTCAAACCCTTCCTGTGCATCCAACATGCTCACCAGCATTGCTCTCATCGGATTAATTAAAAGGGCAAGTATCTTTTTAAAAAGCAAGAGACACTTGTAATGAATTTTAAAGTGAGAGAAAAATCCTCATTTAAGCAACATGTATTTCCTATGATCCCACCTGAGTACTGAGAACAGCACCAAAAACATGCATAATTGAGAAGCTTTTTAGATGAGCAACTTTTAGATTAATTTACTGTGATAAAAAGACAAGGTCAGCACACACCCTTCTTACCGGTTGGCCCTGGATGCTGGGTGTCTGCTACACCAGGGACAGGTGGCTCTACTTCTTGTTGGGGGGAGGACAGGGAGGTGGAGTGCACGGGCTGAGAGGACACTGTCCCTTAGCTCCTAGATCAGTCTTGGACTTGGGAAACCAAAAGCAACTTGGAGAGAATATTTAGTTGGTAAATGGAGGAAAAGAGGGAGGCCACCTTCATATTTCATTCCTATCCCTATATGGAGACAGGCAATTGGGAGCTTTAGCTGAATCTGATAGTTAGAAAGAGACCATATTGACTCCCATGACTAAGCCACCTACCTGCCTTCCTTCCTCCTCCTGGAAGGGGGTTACCTGTTCCCCAGAGCCAGGAAGGAAGAACTGGCTCTACTGAGCTGGGCAGCCTCTACCTGTGAGACTCCTGGCATCACCCTCAGCCAGCTAGATTCTGTGGCAAACACTGGTCCCGTAAGGGCCAGGCCAGCTGCATGGAAAACACAATTTAGGGCTTATCCCCTCAATCTCAAAAACTTGTAAATGCAAGTCACTTCTTCAGGGGAAACACCTCCCCCCTCCCCAACCCATCACACTTTAGTCAAGCAATCAAGTCTGCTTCAGAAGACTAGGAGCCGGAGCCACACAGACCCCACCCGGCCTTGCCTCCAAGGACGCAAGCAAAATAGAGCCTAGAAAATAAAATGCTACAGCTTCAGCCTCTGCTGGGCTCTCAGCTCCAGTTTTTAGAATTAAATATAAAATGTTGTTGCTGAAATATTTGAGATATTACTTTCTGGGTTTTAGTGAGATTTCTTTAATGCTCATCGATTGCCGGGTAATAACTTGTACCTATATGTCTCATTTCAATTACCTATTTAAAATTCGCTGAACCATAAATCTATTCCCAGAGCTGTGGGAATTTAGCTTAGAGTTCCTATGACTTTGAAAAACCATTGATCCTCGTATGCTCCGAGTGGCTGCGTGTCAAGCCTTTATAGCGGGGTTAACTCATTTTGCGGCTTCCTTAATGGCTGCGAGTTTACATTTTATTGCATATCTATTATTTGGGTTGGGCTGTGATGAATGGTTTGGCTGCCCGGTTCAAAACAAGTCCAAGGCAACAGCAGAATCTAATTTGCTTTAAAAATGATGATTACAAAACCTTTCAAATAATAATCCAGGAATAAAAGAGAGCAGATGCCACATTGCTCTGCATGAGACATATGGCTGGAGGTGAGGGGATGGCGTGCCTCCTCTTCCAGAGTAGCTCCTGTTCATAATGACCATCATTAGGGAAGCCAGGGGGTGGACTCTTTCATCAGAGGCAGTAGGCATGTTTCTACTTCCTCGAGAGCAAAGCTAACAGCTTGCTGTTTGTCCCTAGATTGATTCCTAGGAATTGAGGCCATGGGGCAGAGGCTGCTGTGACACTAGGTACCAGGATGGTGCACCAGCAGTGCCATTCTCTGCTGAACGATGCCATCCCGGGCCACTGAATAGTGATGCCTAGTATGCTTCCAAGCCCCTGAAGTCTGGCCTTGCCATCAGGTTGTTAACAGGCACTGACCTTTTCTTTCACAGCTCCTTTGGAGAGGGACCAGAAAGCATTTCTGGGAATGCCTTGGAACTGTCCCTAGGAAACATGCTGCCTCTGTCCTGACTTGGAGAGTTATTCTCCCTGTAATCATCCCTAACTTTTCTACGGAATTAGAATTATTAAGGGGTCTTGGTTCCAGGAGGTAGATGGAGAAGATACTGCCAGAAGTGTACTCTGTGATAGGCGGGATGGTCTTGCTCAGTGATATGCAGCTCAATGGTGAGCAATATTGAATATTCCCACTGTGGCTGATCTGATGGAAAGCTACCAAGTATTAATATTTAACTGTTTTCTTGAAAAATTCCTGAAAATTTAATAATCAGTTCTCATGAGTCAAGTCTACGGAGTTCCTGATAATTCCATGCATGATAAAATTTAGAGATATATTTCTGGTAATAAACTTGTTGGTCCACAAAGCAAAGACCTCCCACAGCAGGATAAGCCAACCAGTCATTCACACCTTACTAGGAAATAGTGTGAGCAGATGTAAGTTTTACTAATGGGCAGGGAGGAGGATGACAGGGGACCCAGCATAGTCACAGCCCTATATGTATCGCTGGGTTGAGCTTTAGTCCTTGGTACTGGGGACGCTATGAACTGGAAAGGCCCCTCCCCTCTGACCATGTCAAGTGCATGACACTTTCCACAGGGAAGGGTCACACTTGTTTCTCTCCTTATGTCATCTGAGTACCTCTTCTATTTGTCACAAGAGCCCTTCTCGCCAGCAAGTCGCAAGGACTCCTTTTCAGGTCTTGCAAATATTTGGAATAGCAACAGCTCAAAGGGATGTCAATATGAAGCAGGGATATCTTCCTAAAAGTGGGAGTCCAGGTAAAGGCTGGGGTGAGGGAGGATGCAGGATCTGTGGGGGGCTCACACCCCCAGGGTCAGGGCTGGCAAGTCTCATCCAAGAGTGTCTCATGCAGGATGATTCTGTCACTTGCTTTAAGCAGAGCCTAAATGCCTTCCAATATAAAGGGCTTCATCTCTTTTGGGCCAGGCATGTCCTCTCTAGCCCCTGGCTTGGGCCCAGCATTACTCTTTTCTCTCCTCACTGTTGACCTCTGTCTGGAGCTATCTGGGGGCTATCCCAGCACTGTCTAGGGCTGGCATGATGTAATCTCTTGGGGGGATCACTTCAGGGAAAAGACATCGTTGCTCAGGGCATCTTATCTGCTTGTGGTATGCACCAGGGGCTCCACAGAGGGGCCATTTGGGGTACCTCCTCTGCCTTCACAAGAGCACCTACCTTCTATCCTTTGACAGGGACCCCTACCTCTCTCCAAGGCAGACTCTCACTCTCTGTTGTCACTGGGTAGTGATTGTCCCCTGCCCCTGCCTGGCCAAGCTCTCCTGTGGGTTTCTCTCACAGGGCACCCAATAAGCCTGGGCCATAGCCTGAGGACAGCCCTATAAATCTACTCCCTCCACATGTCCTCGTAAAACCCTCTAGGCTTCAATCACAGTTGTGGGTACCTCATAGAGTGATAAAAACCTTTATCCAAGCCCTGCCTCTCTTTTTACCCTTTCCTTAAAGCTCAGGCAAAACAAACCCCACTGCTTTCACCTGTAAGGCCCCTGATACCATTTTGGTGTGGAATTTCTATGGAAACACAAGCATTTGCCCACTGGCATCCTGACTGGGCCCAACTTACGGAAGGCTGTGTAGAACTCGTGGAGGGTCAGGGAGTTGTCACTGTTGTAGTCGTCAAATCGGAGGAGGTCAGCTGGAGAGCAGCCGAGTAAGTCTTCATCCAGGTCCTGCTCCTTGAGCATGTGCTGTGGGGCAAGGAGGGAACAAGGCCGGAGCAGGGGTGAGATCAGAGCGGTGGGCACTGCTAGGAGATGGCTCAGGCTGAGCAGGGTCTCCAGGGACAGCTTCTTTGGCCTTGGGGAGCACCTGGAGCTCTTTGGTTTTGTCTGGTCTACATCCCTTATTTTATAGATGAGGAAACTGAGGCTGAGAGAAGGAAAGTGATTGCCACAGAGTTGTGCAGGGGTTAGGGTGCAAACCAGACTAGAGTGTAGGTCTGCCTTCTCTCATCTGGGCAGACAGAACACAGACAGTCTGAGATGGGAAGATCCTTGAGGCCACTTTTGTACCCCTGAGTGCTACAGCTGGGGAAAAAGAGAAGGGAAATGTCCCCATCAAATACACCCAGCACGTAGTGGCTGAACTCAGTGTGGGGATCAATGCCTGCTGGCTCCTGGCTGTGCAGAGCTGGAGGTCACTGCTCCACCAATGTACCCTCCTGCCACCAGCTCTTACTGAGGTCTGGGCAGTGTCTCCCAGCCCTGACACACCCCGCCAAATGGGGCAGCTGCCATTCTATAGACATAGGCTGGAGCCCTACTGAGGCTTGCCCTGTCCTGTGAGGGCATGAATTGCCTTTGGGATTCTGGCCCAGGACCTAAGGCTAGGCCCTTGTAAGCTCCACTGTGGGCATGGTCTGACACAGGCTGCCCCAGCTGACCAGCCACACGGCAAATGCCAAAAGATGGTGAAGGATAGAAATCCCAGGCCCCCTTGTTCAGCTGGAGCTGGAAGCTGGTATGTCTGGAGTTAGAGGTCTTGGTTTTCCCTGTGGGTCTCAGTCTGCAACTACAGGTCTTGCAAGGAAAATGCTCAGAAGGAAGTCTTTAAAGAAAGAAAATGATTTTATTTTATTTTGGGGGAAGGGGAGAAAGGGACAGAAGCATTTTCTCTTTATTTAACATTCTCGGCTTGGCCTGCTGTATTAAAGGCAATTTAATGTGATAATGTTAAAAAAAAAATGACCCTTCACCCAGCAAGTAAGAGCGTTCGATAAAAGGGAGATCAACCATAACTCCTGAGATCAATCTTCTGAAGATAGAAATTTCCCTTTGTCTATTTCTGCATTGGAAATTGATTAACTTTTTACAGGGCCAATGAGTTTTTCCCTGGCGCCTTTGATTCGGTGTCAAGGAAAAGCCCACTTTAGCTTGGTTCTACTTGGCAGATTTATGAAATGAACTTTAAGTATATTAAATTTTAAAGAGGAAATCATAGTCTAATTACTACCCTTATTAATGGCTTCAGGTGCCTTGGGCCACATATTTGCCAGATTAGAGCAATGTGCCCAGGAAGGTTCTGTTTACACCTGGGAGTCATATGGGTCGGGGGCCAAGAGTTTACAGTGGCTTCTGCCTACAGCAAGCTGGTCTCACCTTCCCTGGGTACTCCTTGATTGGTCTATAGTGTGGGGAATTGCCAGGTGGTTCTCCCTGCAGGGAGCCGTTACCAACAGGACCTGGGCTTTTTCCCAGAGAGTCCCTGGCCCTGCCCCTGGAGTCTGAGCCCAAGCTGGGGGCTTAGTGTTGATGGAGATGGTGACATGTTGGCAGGGTGGATGCCCTGGAGACCATAGGCAGCAGGGTCTCTGAGATGCAGGCCACTGCTGCTCACGTGTGGGTGAACAGGGCCCCTGGAGATTCCCAATGTGCTCCCTAAAGCAGGCTCTAGATTGGCTGGAGCAGAGGCGTATGCCCAAAAGCTGTGGTGGCTGCTCCCTGCCAGGATTCTGTGAGCACTTGCTATCTCCACAGACTTTGAATCACCTAGTACCACATGGTGAGAGCCATTCTCCCCAGGAGAGCAAGAGCATGCCTCAGCCTACCTGGGTTTTACCTGAGCCCCATCATGCCCCAGGCAGTGAGCTCAACTCGAGCAAGCTGCTGCCTCAGTTTCATCTAAAAATATCTTCATTTAAAAATATCTAAGGTGGGATAATAGTAGTCCCCATGTTATAGTAGAGGAGGGTTGAAAAGTATGAGGGAATAATAGCAAAGATAGTGATGACCATTGTCATCTATTGAAAATACACCATGTGCCTGGGGCTGTGTTAAGCTCTTCACTGTCTCAGCCCATTTAACACCAGGAGGACCCTGTAAGGTTCACAGATGACAAACAGAGGCACAATTAAGTGAGGTGTCTCCCAAGACCTCCTGGTTGATAAATGCTGGGCAGCACGTGGCCTCGGGCAGCTTGACTCTGCAGTCTGCATTCTTAGCCCCCACCCTCTATAACAAGGAGCTCTTCTATACACTTATTAATCATGGTACAGGGCCTGGCTTAGGGTCAGGCCTGTTGCTCAGTAAGTCCTAGGGCACTTCCTGCTCTAATTCTTCACAATGACCTGGCCACGGCCTTGATAAAACCACCAAGTCATGAGTAAGATTTCTTTAAATTGGCATCAAAGATGGAAACTTGTCCTTCACATCAATCCTCTTTATGGACACTCAGTAGTCTCTGGAGAAGAGCTGTCCCTGCCCCCTGACCCTTGGGGAGGCTGACCTCAGTCTCCTTGCAGATCTTGGCACTTGTCTGGTATGGTTCTAGGGCCCCGTGGAGTAATGCAGGGGCCTCTACCTAGCCTTTCTGCCATTAGATCCCTACAGACTTTCCCCATAGTGACAGTGGCTATGGCCCTAGGGATTAAAGTCACTTTTGCTTTCTCTGCTATAGCCACTAACTTCCCTCTCACCACCTCACAGCTGGACAAAGGGATACATGTGCTCTGTGCAAACTCACGGCCTTTGGGGAGGGAGGAAAACCAAGTGTGCAGTGCAAATATGGACACAGGGCTTCCTGCAGGCAAGCAGGCTGGGGGTTGTGTTGTTGATATTTGGATGCCAAAAAAAAGTGACATCCTAAGGTAGAGGACTTGGGGACTCTGGTTATAGCTCCAAAGGTGTTCGGTGGAAACCAAACACTGCTTCCTTGTAATTTTTCTGCTGAGGAAAGTAGAGACTCAAGGAAAAAAAGATTGATTCCCTAATTGATTTCCTCAGAGAAAGCCCTCTGAAGTGACTGAGGGTGCTTCAAAGCCTATGTGTAAAGAGTGGCTGAAGGTGGCTGGTGGGAAGAAAAAACTGCCGTCGTTTTATTTGCAAGATGTTCTCTGAGGTGTTGAACACAAGCTCTCTGACTAGCGGGAGGGTCGGGAGAAGGGTTTCTCTTTTAGAAGAGAGTTGCAAACAACCGCACTTGTGTGGCCTCCCACACAGATGTGCATGCTGCGTGGCAGCTGGGCACTCCACTGCGGGATTGCCGCTGAGTGCTGTACCCACCTGTGCCAGCTCTGAGCTGCTGAGGTGGCCGCTGCCATCTGCATCCAAGTCCTTAAACAGAGATTCCACCAGGAGGCGCTTCTGGGAGGTGGGGTCATCTCTGCTGCTCCCTTCTTGGGGGGGCCGCAGGCGGGTCTGGAGCGCCAGAAGGACGTTCTTCAGGCGGGCATAGCCAGCCATCGTGCATGTGTCACCTGGAAGAGAAGATGAGGCAATACAGTGAAACATAGCCTTGGTCTTGAGAGAATGTTCCTGTCACCAGTCCATTTGTCCATCTTCCTCATTGCTAGTCACTGGGCACTTACTATGTGTGGGGCAAGGCACACCTGTCGTCATTGGGACTTACCTGCCTGCCCACCAATCCATTCCGTTAACGTTTGCTGAGCACTTTGTGCTACACATGGTCTGTGCTGGATGGAGACGTCTGTCCATCCTCCCAATGTTTACTGAGCACTTATTATTAGCCAGGCATGGAGGGAGTGCCAGAGGGGACGGGCAAATCCTTCTAGCAGAGCTTACAGTGGTAGCTCCACACTGGCTTTAGGAAAGTCGGCCCCAATTCCATTTTGTAGTAGCTCGTTTTTGCCTTAATCCTACCTTAAAGGCTGCTTTTGAATACTTGGCCTCATAGATTAGGGAGTTTTACTTAACAGGAAGAGTAAACCCTGCTTACGTTAACGAGGTACACTCCCAGAGCTGGATTACTTCAAAACAAACACATGTACACAAGTCTATGGCTGAGCAACAAAAGGAAGCTTTACAAAATTAACACCAGAGCACACAGCCCATCCTCCTCAGGCCTTTTATCACAGGCAAGCTCCCCAGACAGCATTAGAGCCTCGCCATGTTTTGGCAAATGAGACTTGTGATGCCCTGCAACATGACATAGTTTGTCTTGCTGGTGACAGGTCACTGGGATGAATACCACACAGGACACGGCTCATAAACTGTCAGCAGAGCAGGGCAGCCCCTCTAGCCCCACTTGCCACCTCTCCAGGGGATGGGAAACTTACTACACTTGCCTTGCTGAATCCTGGAGAATGGTCTGTGGAGTCCTCACAGACCATTCCAGATTGAGGGTCCATGGGCTGCTAGGAACGGAATGTCTGGGGCTGTGGGGCTCTTCCCCTTAATTCCCAGGCCTAGAGCATCAGGGAATAGTTCAGGGTTGGAGAGTCAGTAGAAGGCAGTGCTGGGAAGCATGGCCTCTGAGGTCCACTGGACTTGAGTTCCAGCTCTGCTGCTGTCAGGCTGTGTAAGGCTAGGTGCCTCAGTGATTTCATCCATCAAATGGGGATAATAGTGTCTCCCATGAGGTGGGGATGTGATGAGGACTGAATATGATGTGCACATAGAGGCGCTGCCCTGGCTTGGCACACAGTAAGGCTCATAAGTGATAGCAACTATTATGGAAACCATGTTTGCTGAACAGCAACAAACAGGGAAGCGATTTGGCAGGGAAAGGAATGACAGGGAGTCTGTCTGTTGCTTTCTTCCTCCCCTGCTCCTTCACTAGATAAGCCTGGAAAGTCCAACCACTTTTCCTGTGTGTGTTTGTGTTTGTAGATTTTCTTCCAACTTGGGGTCAATTGATTCCCATCAGAAACAGATGCTCATTACCATTTCGTCCTGCATGTTTATTTAGAAAAAAATCAATTGCTGAGTTCAATGTAATCAAATCTATTTGCTCTCTGGGAGTCTCCATGCTCTGACAAGAATGGCCCTCTCTCACACCCCCAAACTTGCTAGCATTCCTCTTTTGCCTGGTAAGATATCGATTCCTGGGAGTTCTTACGACCACCAGTTGCCAAACCCAATTCTAAAGTCTGTACAGCGGCGTGGTAAACAGTAGGGCTTGTCCCATCTCAAAACCTGCTGGGTGTTTCTTCTTTCGGGTCCGGATAAAGATCAATTTTGGGAAAGGGGAGGAATAGTCTTACTCAAGTCTAGCCTTTACCCCCCCCAAAGAGGATGAAGTCTGGTCCTGGCAAAAGGAATTGGAGACACAGGATAAAAGTGGAAACAGAATCATTGGGGTGAATGGTGATGGAGGTGTCTGGGGGCAGGTGCATGACCCAGCACTGGAAACACCTTCAGGCTTTCCTGCAGTGAACATTTACACCCGGTGCTGGGCAGCTGGGGCACACAGCAAACGGACATCGTGCTGGTGGACAATCAGGCTCCTATGAATATGCCACAGCAGGGCCACCTGTGTGTTAGGCTAAGCCATATGAGATGGGCAGGACGTCTCATCCTCACTAGTCCCCACAACATTCCTCTTGATCCTTGGTCAGGCATAAGCCTCTTCTGAGCTACCTGCTGTGATGGCTGGCACAGGGGGCAGAGGGCATAGGCAGACAACACCTTTAACAGTGGCAGGCCAGGGAAACATTGAGGCGGGTCCTGCTCGGGTGGAGGCGGGGGTGTGGTGGCAAGCTCCCCAGGCTCTGCCCCTCCTGTCACATCCTTACAGTTCAGAGTGAGCTCACAGGCTTTCAGCTTCCCCACTGTGGCAATTGCTGTGCAGATACCTGCTGTCAGGAAGGCAAGCAAAGTCTAGAGGCCAGCCTGGGGAAAGTGGGTAGGTGCCCAGATCTCCAAAATCAGCTCCCTAAGACCTGGCCACACCCCCTGCTAGGGTGCGTGCTGGCCAGGCCCCTCCCATCCTGCTGCTGATTTATTTACTACTCTGTGCCAGAGGCCGGGCAGCATGCTAGAGATAGGATGCAGCTTCTAGGCCTGGACATGGTGGGTGTCCTCAGGGGACAGGGAATGAGGCTAAGGGAGGGGTGTTCAGGATGATGCCTGTGGGAGGAAGAGGAGCTTTGGGAGGTGGGGTCAGAGGAAAAAGCTCACCAGGCAGCAGGAACCAGGTGTGTGGGAGAAGGGGGTGCAGTGCACCTGGAGCCCTGAGAGGGCTGGGATGGCTGGGCTAGAGTGAAGGGGCGGGAGAGTGTGGACCGAGGCTGGCAGGAGAGGGTGGTGGGGCTGTGGGGAAGCGTGGGAGCCATGGCATGATGCCAGGCTCAAGACCTCCCATGTCCCTTCTTTACTGCGGCTCTCACTGGCCTGGCCTGTGCCCCGAGGTCCTGAGGCGAATCAAAGGGCTTCTAGAAGAGAATCGGGTTTTGTGTGTGTGATCTATTTTCTCTTTGTGTTTATCAAATTACTGTCTCCTTGGCTTACATTTCTCAGACTTTCTTTTTCACTTGACTTCAAGTCTTCTGGTTCATATGAGTGAAGTGCATGTAGACAGATTATTCGAGTCACAGTGCCAAAATGTCAGGATCCAAGCAGTTGTTTGCGTTCTTGGTTCTTAGTGTGTTCTTGGCCAAAGAATGACCATATCCACCAAAAGCAAGGCAAACATGACAGAAGGTTTACTGAGGAAGAGGAAGACAGGTTTACTGAGCCAGAGCAAGATACAGACTTACAGAGCAAGGTACATCGAACAGGCCCCTTGCTGTAACAAAGGAATAGGCCTGGAAGAGAATCTTAAATCCTTCTTTAGTCCAGGAGAATCTGTGCTTTAAAGAAGTCACAAGAGAGGAGTTGGCCAAAGTTAAATCATTAAATTATTTGTCCAGCATCACTGGGCACCACTAGTGCTCTAGAGATCTGGGGGAGCTGTGGACGTAGGGGAAAGGCATGCTGATGGCAGGATTTCTGTGCCCTGGAGAGGATCACGTAAGATCCTGAGGTCCAGACTCTTTTACTGGGAAGCCCGCTGATGCTTCATTTCAGTGAGGACAGCCTGCGTGGTGGTGTCATGCCTCTGTCATCTGAATTCCATGGGGTGAGGTAGCAGGGGGAAGAAAACTTCCTTCCTTGCCCTATTCCGGGCCCCAGAAGTGGATGCCCCCAAAGCTGCAGCTTCCAGCTCAGTGCCAAGGTGAGCGTTTCTCTGTTGAGGGAGGCCTTGACTCCCAGGATGGCTACCTTCCTAGCAGGATGTGTACAGTTTTAGTTGTTCATTCCCAACCCCTGTGGTTTCACCATGGGGTCAGAGAGGAGTGTGGAGCACTGGGCATTTGTGATTTGGCCAGGCCTGGTCTTCAGCTAAAGGCTCTCTACCCTGCTTTTAGTTTCAAACATTTGTCTTATTATAAAAGAAATACTTGTCCACCAAAAAGCAACTTTGGAAAGCACAGATGCATATAAATAGAAAATACATTATCTATAATTCACCTCCCAGAGACACTGCTGTCAACACACTGCTGGCCAGAGGTTAAGCTGGCCCCTCTGGTGCAATGTGCTCCCTTGCGCAGGCTGGCCCTCATCCACTGTGTGCGGGCCCTGAGGCCTGGACCTCCACAGCTTCTATTTTCTGATTTTTCTCTTGTCCTTCTTAAGTTCCAGTCAATTTGGGCAAGAGAATGTCAATACCCAAGGCTCAAGTCTGTTTCATTTTCACATGGGTCACCCCTGCCCACCACCCAGCAAGTCCACATGGGTGCCTGAGAGAGGGAGAAGATGGGGGAGAAGCATGTTCCTGCCAGGGATCTGCCTCCAGCTGGAGTGCCATACCCAGATCTCCACTCTGCTCACCCCTCAAGGTGGAGGAGAAGCGTGTTCCTGCCAGGGCTCTGCCTCCAGCTGGAGTGCCATACCCAGATCTCCACTCTGCTCACCCCTTTGCTCTGCCTTGGCCACTGCTTAAACACACCTGGTTTACACTAGCACCTACCTTCCTCACTCTTTGTGCCCTGACTCTGCTCTGGGTACCTGAGTGCCAGGGAGGGAGGGAACCATGTCCCTCTGGACTACCAGGGTCCAGCCTCAGCCTTGGCCCTCAAGACACTTTGGCTCCTTCTGAGGGAAGGTCCCTGAGGGATGTGTGGCAGAGGCTTGGGGACCAAAACATCTCCCCTTGGTGCCCTGTGGGTGTTGACCAAGATGATGCTGAGAATAGTACTGGCCATCCCTCACTGAGGAGTCCAGACCAGGGCCTCGTGCCCATTGTCAGGGCCTCTCTGGTTCAGCCTGGGGTGTGGGAGACCTGGACTACAGTTGAACTTCCACATTGATTGATCCAGATGTGCTGTACATCTTTCAGAGAGAAGGCCAATGATTGCATATAGGCTTGAGGTCTGTGCCTTGAATGAGGCTCACCACGGACTGCAGGGGACCTGCTTCATGAGTGAGCCTGACTGAAACTGCAGAGATTTCTACCCTCATGCCTGGAAAGTCAGTT